CTAAAGTCGAGATACAACTTGAAGAAGAAATCTGTGCTGAGGTGGATTAGGCGAGCAAGCATGTGACTAAATTCAATATTTACGCGAACCGTCCGCTCGTGTAATCGTGTTGCAATTAAGAGCAGCAAAATTCGATTATGTAGTCGCCTGTTCTCGGCAGTGCGCTGTAATTAGCGGCGAAACCCGTAGAAAACGAATCGTGCGGTTAGAACGTCTGCCAAAGTGATAACAAGCCAATTACGTTTGCGTTTCGATCTTTCAACGCGACACGACAAGTCTATCTGCTATTTGCGAAAACATAGTCCACTTCGAAATCGTACTTCTGCCTCTTAGTACTTCTAATTAGTATCGCATGCAAACAGAACGTCGAGAATTCTATGAATAAGTTGTTAAGGAAATTACTTCTCTTTCAATTATATTGTGATAGATGGTTAGGTAGATGATGAATCATCAGTTTCTGCACAGAGCTATTTGCTTCATAGGACAAAATAGATTTCTTGGAATCAACGAAGCTTTAGTATGTTGAAATCTAATGTTGAACTTTGCATAGCATAATTAATCTGGTTGTATATTGCGAGACACTATCGACGTTTGATATAATTAGACTGTGGATTTTGAAACATTTATAGAAAATGTGAAGATACAAAGATATACAGAAAATACATAACGTGTGTGAAAAAATATATAAAGTTGTGTTGATCGTAACATTTAATAGGCAAAACAAATTTATACTTGGTTCTATTTTTTCACTTGTGTTTATAAAATTTACATAAATATCCGCAGGATCGTGTCATGTCATATCTCGTAAAAATCAAAATACTGTGTACTTTAGGCTTAACAAGATCAGAAACAGCGCAGCCAATGAGGAAGTTACTTCGATCGAGTAAGAATTTCAGGTTTCCGTGAAAAAAGAGCATTGTAAAAATATTGGTTTGCAAGCAGATCTTAACTCATTCTATATAGAACAGAAGGAATAAACTGTATTTAACAAAACAATAGAAATCATACGCTAATAATGTAAAGGAATCATACTTGAAGTGTTGAAAATATTTAAGTTTCGCGGGTTAACATTATTTTTGTAGCTTGTTAGATTTATTATAGCCATTTTTCATCTTATTATCGCATTATATGTATCTCATTAATGGTGTTATACTTATGCTGCACGGTTGTCTAATTCTATTTGCGGCTTTCATCTGGCATTAAATGGCTGTGCAAACATATAATTCTAATTAATCTACCTAGCAGACTGTTAGCTTTCTCTATTCTACGTTTTAACATTTTTAAAGTTATTTTACATTTTCGTGTCTTGATAATTTCACCTAGTTGTTTTTGGTAATTATGTCATGCATCAAGATAAAAGGATGTGTTTAACTAGATCTTTTACTCTTTATAATTTGTTCTTTGTATGCACAGCTGCTTTTAATTAATATTCTTTACTGCTAAAAGCATAGTCGCTGTGAGTGCTCAAGAATAAAAATTATTATTAAGAGAATATTGCACGCAAAGAACAACAACGTTCGAATATCCGCCGCAACGTTTAAACTCGTAATGTAAGAAGTGTCATTTAAATTCCACCTTTCATTACGGCACCTTGCATCCGAACAATTATACGAGTAAATTAATTTCTCTGTTCTTGCGTTGCTCTTTTGTAACGTGGCAATAGCCACTTCGTGGAAATTATGTCTTTTCATCTCGAAGCAATACAATACTCGTTTTCCACCTGTATAGTCTTCGATAAATCTTAGAATTCAATAAATTATAAATCCATTAGCGGGATCTTATGTATGTATATTAATTAGTCGGGCATAAGCGATAATTGTTGTTCAAACAATTTCCACCATTTCGATTCAGCGTTTTACGCGTTTCTGAAATTATTACGTTAATCGAACGAGAATCGAAAACACAATGCTAAGCGAAGCGTATGATAAACAGACGTAGTATTTGATATTTTTAAGAAGATCAAATATTTTCTGGATTAAAGATGATATTAATTTGTGACTTGGAGAGAAACGAGAGAAAAGTAAATTTTCAAAATTATTCTCATTGTCGACTATATAATAAAAATTCTTGATATAACAAGCTGATGAAAAGAATGTTTTAATATCTCTTACTTAAAAATGTACAGTTAAAAATTTGGGATAACAAAATCGAAAAGTTGCAGTGTATTTAAGTATAACGAGTTATCATATATATATTCCTACATATTTACACATCACAAAATCAAAAAATTAGTTAGGAAGATTGGCCCAAGTTATGAGACGAAAAGAGTATCCTTTCAGATATTAATTTTAGCAAAATAATTACATTTGTAAAATATATCATTGATTTTGTGATATGGAAACGTATAGAAATAAATACACAACGAAAGTATAGGTTGTTCTTGCGTAATTGTAAAGCGCGATTTTTCAAGCTTGTTTCATAATTTTGTTACCTCTAACTTTTAATTACAGTAACTCGTATCAATATTTAACATAGCATACTATGTGGAATATTACTGTTATAAAATATGTTTAAAATAAAAAAAATAAACTAAAAATATAAAATAAATTTATTCATAATGGCTAATTAATTCACTATTTTACAAAAATACTAAAACATATATTGTAGTTGTTAGAAACGTATAATACATTTCATTTATTTAATGCACATACTTTTCCTAAATAAAGAATAATAAAAAAAGAAACTAGATAATACTCGAATTTCACGAAAACTGCAAATATTTATGCGAGTCATTCTAGATATCTGTAAATTAAAAAAATATTAAAATTTCATTTCTCTCTTAACTTATTGTTTCATACGTTTTTGCCATACATTACAATTATCCGAATAATTCTGTCACTCAACATACGTTGACGTGTGCAGAAAACACAAGCGTTTCTGGGGAATTTTGTAGAAATCATCGAGAAATGAGAGAAGATGCTTCGCGTTAAAATAATAAACAAGTTCGGTAATTGTTCGGGGCAGCGGTGAAATCAACGATTCTCCTTTTTCTATCGAGAAAGTTTGGTATACTGCATTAAAGTTCATTCCAGAAGTTTGCTCTGCAACTCGCCAAAAGTGGCGAACAGTTTGAAACTGTATCCCTTGGTCGAACTCGGAAACACTTACGGACCGTTTTACCAGGAATCTTTCACTGACGTTTCCAGATTAAGAATCGCCAAAGAAAATAAATGAGTAAATCGACGGTTGTTCGATTCGACGTATGGCTGCTATTGCAGTACTCTTTGTTATGTGGTTGAATGGAATGTAATTTACCCTTCATATAAAAAGTTTCCAACGCGATTACAATTAAGAAAGTTGAAGCAAACGAGGAATTAATTTATTTAAATGTTAGGATTACCAATTCGTTCGTTAACATATTCGTTGAGGTTACTCTTTAAAAAAGTAGCTTAGCAAATCAAATACGTATGCCGATTTATTTTCTTTATTTATTTATGGCTTGTTATATCAAGAATATATCGCTATTGTATTGACGACGACAGATGTTATATTTATATGTCTGTTACTTATGTAACATATTTAGTGTTGTTTTAATATTGTTTTCTAACGTTCAGAATTTATTCCAATTCATATTTTAGTTTATTTGAAGTAGTGCAAGAATTCGTTGGTAATTTCACTTTAACAAACAAGTTTACTCGCAGCTGCAAATATACTATTTTCCAATAATTAGCAAAGTTAATATGCAAAACTACGTGCAATGAATCTCGTTCATGGGAACGATTGATTCGGAGCATAGAAGCTTCGAGAATGATGTCTTCAAGGAAGATTGGAAAACGAGAATGGAAACTGAAAGAGATCGTCATGTAGCAAAGTACTTTTCCTTTCTAGATCATGAAAAATTCAGGGCAAGGATCATTTCAAATATCCTCTGTGACACGTGTTAACGGCTCAAGAACCTCCATAAATTTTGAAAACGGGCATTTCCTCGTTTATGACGCTGTCAGCTAGTCGTCTCGACGTGCGAGTACGCGGCAGAACCGATCGCGAAGCAACTACTGTATCAACGGTGAAATTTACGCTGACGCTCGCGATCCAATAACGCACAAGTCGTCTCTGTTATCGGTACAATTTATCTTTCCATCGGTGTACATTAAGAAATTCATCGCCGAATTCGTTCGATAAACAGGACAGTCGAATCGAGTGCACGTCGCGATGGTTCCCAACAGCGAAACAATAGGCGATGCGAACGATTGTGACAAGTATCACAGCGAGCAAAGGGCTTTGTCATCCTATACAACGACCAGTTGAACAGATTCGCTTGGAGAGTTCACGCCGCGAACTATGCCACGCTACACAGATAAAAACATAGACATTTATCACCTGAACTGCAAGCTGTCGTTCCTATTTGACTGACGTTTTAATCGAATACGCAAGCCAGATCGCTTGGAAAAGTCAATACGTTATCAACGTAGAACTTTAACTCGTTTGCATCTTATTTGAAATACAATTAATCGCAAGTTATTATTCATACACGCGCGATGCTCATTACCGTACTATTGATTTTTGTGCAATTGTATATTTTTAGTAACGCAACTAAGGAAATAGAGCTGTATGGAAATTCATTTAATCCATTAAATATTATAACTACTATCTGAATTTGAATATTTCTTATTTGTTACCTTATTTCAAGCTACACAAATTTTCGTAATCAAGTTTGCATGTTTTTAAATATTAAATTTAATAAAATGTGCATAAATATGGAAGTAAAAATGCTAATTCTGTTGAACAGCGAGGACAATTTACGTCGCAAACGGTGCATTTTTCTTTCAATTTGTTTGCACGGTAGATCGCATGTCGACGATTATAATTGGGAAACTCGTAGTCCGTTTTCGTAGCGATAGCTTCGTTTCTTGTCGGTACAAATACCGAGAGGGAGACCCTAGCGATGGATCTTTTCATTATTCGCGAACGTTAACGAACGAAGCTCCGCTGTTCCTTTGCTGGACTCAGTTGGAAAAGCGATAACGAGCAAGTTGCCACTTTCAATGAGATTTAATCGCCGTTGCATTGATTTGCAGGGGTGCACTGCTACAGTATGCTACACGGAAGCAGCGGAAAGAATAGCAACGTTCATCAGAACAGCTTGGATGACAGCAGTACACAATCTGGTCCGTACTTCGATATATCGAATTCGAAGAACGTGACCACCATACTGGGCAAAACTACGTACTTGAATTGCCGCGTGAAGAACTTGGGAAACAAAACGGTAAGTGAACAATCGAATGTAATGCCAGAAATTCGCGTTGAAATATGACGTTTCGAAATATGAAATATAAAAGCGGAGATTATCTGAACGGTTCAGATTCGATCAATCTTCATCTATATCTATATATCGAAAAGTTAACAAAAATTGGAAATATCAATTTCGTAAAATTTGAATTTAAATATACGTTAAAGAGTTCCTGTTATTCTTATTATTTGCCCATTAATTATTTTAAATAATTCTAATTATATTGCTTGAAATAGTTATATCTGGCGTGCAGAGATATATCCTTCGCAATTAATTGCAAACAAATCATTAGAGTTTCAAGATATCAAATAATGAATTCTTCATCGAATGTTGGCCATAATTTCCTTTCGTAAATTACTTGACTTGTCTCTGCGATATAATTACACAAATATCATTTAAAATATTGCTTATAATGTTGCTCGAGGTAAAAGTCAGATGCCAAATATTTGTAATCGTATATTTAGGGATCGATTGAATCGATGGCGACACTTTCAGTTTAATCTGGGTCAACGGTGAGAAAGATTAAGGACTCATGATTCATATTCCAGCTGAACAGGCCACACCCTTTACTAATTATTCAGACTTATTCCTTTATGCTCGACACTTACTATATATTTAGAAAAAAGATATTTAGGAAAAAAAAGATCACCTTCTGTACAACACGTTTGCCTATACATTCGCCATAACCGAGAAAAAACTGCAGTCAAGGATAACGCGATATCGATTCAACGTTTCGTGTTGAACATTTCGAATAAAAAGTGGAACGAATTTCAACTGCAATTCCAATGTAATTGATACGAGTAACAGCATGTACCTACGTAGATGTATAGGTAGTAACTTGAATAGAGTGATCGATACTTGAGCTGTGAATTTCTGAAAGGGAACTCAGGTTTTGAATACAATCTCAAACGTATAAAGCGCATTAATTTTCTTTTTTTTTTTACTCTTGCATTAACGTTCAAGCAAAATATATAATACACGAAAATTAATCTCTTTCTCTCTCTAATAAAATTAATTAATTATCAATAATACGATAAAACGAAATTGTGACACTAACTTTTACGAATTCAACTGTCCGATTTCGCATTATCTGTAATCAGATCGAGTCGTATTAAATTTGTTTTCTCGTAATCGTATAAGAAGCCAATTATAACTAAAGTTCCTTCCAGTATAAATATATTTTTCAATGTAAATTCAAACTGTATATCATGAGAGTGGTTACATCAGTTTAGAATTCTTCTAACGTATTGTTATCGAGGAAATAACATTTTGTAAGAAAATTGGATGGCAGTTTGTCGATAAACTGGAGGACAGCTTAAAAGCACTGGACAACGATAAACGGCGGGCAGGGCACGTTCGGAAATTAAAATAATTCCTAAGAGGTAAAATTAATATCGACGAAACCAACGGAGATAGCAGAAGCAAAAAGCATGGACCTCCATCACGAAGATGGGCTTACATATAAACGTTTTTTACGCCATGCTGAGTACAGGAAAATATCGAGTGTCAATATTTTAGCGGTACAATGGATCGTCACCTGTCTGTAGCAAACTGCAAAGGATGCATCGGAAGTGCACTTGGCCGTCGTCGACCTATCCACCCTGCTATTGAAGTGTGACTGTCCCACCCGGTATATGTAGAATGTTTATTTACCGATAAATATCAAGAATCGTTTTAATCGAAATGAATTATCTTATTTCGCTGTGGAGTTCTTTTGCGAATGATACTTAAGAAATAGCTTAGTTAGATAATGTTGATTAATCCGTGCTCGGTAAAATTATCAAAAATTTAAAAGTCTGATATTATAGTAAGCACACACGACGAATTAAAAATGTATTCGTCTTTAAATATGTACCGTGTAATATATCCATTTAACGTACCGTAATGTGTCATTCTACTTGAATATCCAATATGCAAATTAATTATTTTAAGCGTCACAAATCGCTCGTAGAATATTCTGATATGGACTAAAATATTCGAAGGCTTAATAGGTTATTGTGTTGCAATGATGTTTTTGATTAAAATTTGGAATTTTATAACAAAGAAAATTAGTCAAACAAGTTCGTGAATAATACAGGGGATTGACTATGTTTTGTGCTAAATATTATTTTTATCACAGCATTTTAACCATATGGCGGCTTCTCCGTATATTTACAGATTTTTGAAAAAGTATAATTTCAAAATTTTGGAGTCAGATCTGCTGTTCAGAATATATAACAGAATTTAAATATTATGCAGTGCTTACACAAAATATTGTCACATATCCTTCTCTTCTAATGAAACGTTTCTTCATCAGATTTTATTTTCATCGAATGAAACTTTTGTACGAAGGTACTATTAAACCATGCGAGATTTAATATACTTGGATCTAACTAATTAATACGTGAGTACTAACATAAATACGATACTTCTGTGTCCGATACTCTTTCTAGCCGCTATAAAACATTGTAGACATTGTAACATAGTCGTACAGCTGAAATACAGTCGTATGATGTTCCAAATGTTTAAATAGCAAAAAACATGTCTATAAATTCCATTTCAGCGGACTGAAGAAAATTACATTTACATACGTATCGCGAGGACAAACGCGATAAAAGAAACGAGCGTAATCAGAGAAATCTTTTAAGGCGACGCAATCCCAATTAATCGGTGTATCGAAAAGAGCGGCCGCTGTTCGAAAATTCGATGTTTGCTTGGTAAAAAAGCAGCGTAACTATGTCCGGTTCATTCATATGTATAACATAACCTAGTTTCGATTTGCGTTCTGCTCTCGAACAGAACGTTACCTCGAAATTCGTGTCGGAGATACAGTCAGTTTCTAACCGCGGAGGGCTGCTCGCGAAATTTTAATGACGCCGCGTACGATCGGCCGACACAGTGCTTTGCAAGCCTGCGGGAAATTGACTCGAGTAATTATACGATTGCGCGCGCGCGTTCTAGCAGCTCGACACGAGCCACTAACAGCCGAACCAAACGTTTCTAACTTTTCTTCTTTCCTGCGATAATTAACAGGCGAAATAACTGGACGATAAACGAACGACAGAAGCTGAAGCTTCGTTGTGTAATGGAATATAGTTGAAATAGCAGATGCAAAACGATTACCAAAAGCTCCCGAGGTGAATCTTTGACCGGGTGAGCTGTTGCTTCGGTTATTGCTAAATTAAAAGAATAAATTGGAGTTTTATCGAATTTCTAAGTCACTGATTTTACGTTTTATAAAGATTGGAGTTTTCAAATGTCTTTCTGTTTTTTTGTTATTGGAATTTCCTTGATATTATTGTAAAATAGCTTTTGCGGATGAAGAGTTTCTGTATAACGATGATGTTTATTAGCATCTCTGACTTGAAATTGATTATCAGACGAGCAAATCAATTTCTTGGAGACGAAATTAGCAGGAAGCTTGTTCCCCATGTAAAATTTCTGAGGTCGGAGTTCATCGATGCTCACCAACGGCGCAACCAAGTTTATTCCGCAAAGTACACTCCAGTAATTACAACCGAGTTCGAGTATTTGATTTGGAGATCATGTTTACACGATCATCCATTAAAACTTTGGAAGAGTTAAAATTCGATCCGTGTCGGTGCGTCGAACGAATTCGCCGAAAGTGCAGTTCGAAAAATTCCAAAATTTATAGCATTCTCGACGATATGTCATTAATTCCATCTATTTCAACATTGAATTTCCGCTATCGCTTTTAAGATTAGTGCACTTTAAGCAACACATTGATAGAATTATTAACTGCGCGCATCGATAACATCTCCTGATACAACAATATTATTCGTTCAAATAGTTACATGTTTTAAATTACAAGTTTGTTGTCCGTTTCATTATTTATGACAAAATGATAAAATTCCTTATCTTATTCTAACATGTCTGCCGATTTGTCCTATGAACAGTTTATGTAAGAAATTTGAATTTATATAATTTCAAAAAATGATTATTGTCACGAGAAGTATCTTCATACGATAGTATTTTCGTTCGATTATAATTTTTTTCTACGATAAAGTGTTTAATATAAATTTGTTTATAATGGTTACTTTAAGGATTCTGATACAGCATAATGACAGGAAAATATGATTATAAAAGTTTCGAACACGTGATACATTGGTAGTATCGTAGAATAGTATAATACACGTAATAATATAATATATATATTTGATATGGAAAATATGCTCTAATTAATGTATCGTATTAAAAATACGTATTACTGTGCATACATATTTTCAAATTAAACGTAAATACATACACGCACACATGCATTGTCTCTATATTTTATTTTCCCTCGCGCACTACACAGTCCTCGCTAATTAAAATGATAACTTTGCACAAAAGCTCTCCTATCAGTTCGATGTTTGTATTGTTATATTTTATTTATAAATATCTGATATGATCATATCAAAACCAACAAAACAGTCCATAAAAAAGATTCCTAAAGATATACATCGCTACAACGTATTTCCTCTACAAGACTAAAAAAATTTCTTCAATATGAAGTTTCTTAAAACGCTTATAAGAAACTAAATATATACTCTCCTTTCTATATATTCTTATATAACTATATATTTAACAATATTTCCAATTTTCGCACTCAAGAAAACATTTAACAACCAATGCAGCTTTATCTTATTTCGTTTCATTGACATAGTCCTCCAGTATTCATGTACATAACATATATTCACTGAACAGCTAATCTATCATCCAAATATCCCTATTTCGCCACGTAATCCGTCATTCAGACCGGTATTCAGTATCTTCACAGGTGCGCGTTCCAATTCACAAGCGGATAGATTCGTCGCGGACAGTATTGCGGTGTACGACACCCCTCGTGATTCGAAATCCGCCCGCGTTCTCGTACAGTCTGGCTGCTTGGACTGCGAAATCAAAGGAACAAATGGCACATGCTCGATTTTCAAACAGCTGAAAGAGTCTCTTTGCGCGTTTCCTCGATGATGCGGTCGTCGTTCGAAAATCACGTT